GGTTGTGTGGGTGGCAGCCACTCGATGTGTCTCTCTGTCTCTCTTCCTCCCTCTCTCCCTCCTGCTTTATCTGAAGATAAATGCAAAAATGTCCTCGGGTGAGGACAAAAACAAAAACAAAAAACCCAAAGTAGATCAGTCTTTCCAAACAGGCTTAAAAAGCAAAAACTCAACAAATATTAACAAAGTGTCTGAATCACACAGATTACTTTGGTACCAAAGAAATTAAATTAGAGCCCAGCAGGGGTGCTCAGTGGTTAGAGCACTGGCCCACGCCCCAGAAGGTCTCGAGTTCGATTCCCGGTCAGGGCACCTACCTGGGTTGCAGGTTCGATCCCCAGTCCCGGTCAGGGTGCACGTGGGAGGCAACCAATCAATGTTTCTCACACACCAATGTTCCTCTCTCTCTCTTTCTCTTTCTCCCCCTCCCTCCCTTCCCCTGTTTCTGAAATCAATGGAAAAAATACCCTCGAGTGAGGATTAAAGAAAAAATAATTAGAAATGAGTCACAAAACATAACTAATGAAATTGCCTGGAATTTAAAAGCATATTTATAAATAACCTAAGGACCAAAGAAGAAATCCAAACAGAAACGTGATAGACATGAGATGAAAAGAACAGAACAAAAATAAATACACTCAAGACTTGTGAGGTGGGATGAAAGAGAACGGGGAGGCAACACAGTTGCTAATGCCATGCTACATAAATGTCAAGATTAGAAAGAAGGAGGATTAAAAGGTAATTAGCTGAGCAGACGACGCTAGGTGCTAGAAAAGGAAGACCAGAGTACCCTCAGAGAAGGACATGACGAAGTCAGGAGCACAACCCACAAAACGTCGAGGGTGTCTGACCATTAAGGGTATCAGCCCAATAAAACCCTGGCTCATTGAAGGTGGATCAGAAAAGGTGCGGATGCTTTCAAATGAACTGGGAAACAGAATCCAAAAATCTGGGTCCAGGAGCGAAGTGGGGACCACAGGTGGGCAGGGAGGGGGCAGAGCAAAGGCAGTGGGTGAGCTACCTGCCGGACAAGGCTCTGCCCCGGACTCCTAGAGACCCCGGGAGAGTCACTTCCCCCCTTTGGCCTCAGATTCCCCATCTGTAGAATGGGACAGTGGGGTTCAGTGATCTCTGAGGTCTCTCCCAACGCTGACTGTCTGGGAATTTTGTATTCCAACCGGGTATGCAAGGAGGGGGCATGATGATTTCTCAAGGCAGCCTTGCCTACAAACCTCCGGTGAAATGTGACTGCTCTCACATACCCTGCCTCACCTCCTTGGCCCCAGCAACCCTGGTGTCCTTGCATTTCCTCTCATCTTCCCGAGTCAGGGACTGGCCTGTTCCAGCGAGGGCCCCCCTCCCCGGCGGGGAACCTCATCGTCTCTAGAAAGACCTGCCTGCCCCCAGATGGACTGAGAGCTCCCCAGTTCACAGTCTTGCTACATTGTCATTAAACAATTAATTACACATTTAGGGCATTTAGCGGCTGCCTCCTAGGCCCTCTTGCCCAGTGCATGTGGGCAAGTGCCCGCCCTGGTCTGTCTTCCTCACCAGTGTATCCCCAGGGTGGAGGTGCCCGCTCCTTATTTGGACAGTGCCCTTCACATGCCCCCCATTCAAACGGGACCAGCACCTGGGCCGGCCTGGGCGCCGCGCCCCCTCCCCACCCTGCTCCCGGGGCAGCGGGCAGCCTTGGTGTTCGCCCCTTATTTACCTGCACTGACCTCAGAGCGACTCGGCTCCGCTCAGCAAAGCTGTCTCCTGCCAAAGCCGTTACAATTTCGTAGCTCCGGGCGGAGACAGACTGCAGATGGCTTAATTTAGAAGCATCTCCGAAGGAATTCCTTGCTCCACGGCTCTCATCCTCTGACTCCGGGGGTCCACAGGGTCGTGACCACACACAGCTGGAGGCCTGGCTTGTAATGAGGAGCCTGGTCTCTGGCTGCCATCTTAGGGGAGAGGGGGCGCGTGGGATCGGAGCCGCACGTCCCCCCAGCGACTTTCACGCGACCCATTTCATAAGCGTTTATTTCGAGAGGAGAGTTTAGCCACGAAGACCTGGGCCCAGAGTCCCACCGCTCTGGGTTCAGCTGTGCAAACTGGGGCAGGTGCCTCCACCTCCCGGGGCCTCTGTCTCCCCATCTGGGAAACGGAGACAACATCTGGGTGCTCTGAGGCTGCTGTGAAGCAAGCGCTCGGCCCCCGGCGAACCCCAGGCCTGTTGTGACATCGCTGCTGATGGGAGCAGCTGGGGATCCCGGTGCAGGCCCTCCAGGACGCCGCCGAGGGCACCCCGCTTCTTGGCTCTCTGAGGGCTGGACTCCTCTCTCCGCGGACTCCGCGTTCTGCTCGGGCACTGGGGATTTCGCGGGACAGAAGAGACCCGGCCCACGTGGGGTAAGCTTTGGCCCGAGTCAGCTTTGATGAGAGTCCAGCAGCACCGAACCAGCAGCGCCCAGCGTCACCTCGCCTCTCCCGCTCCTGGTGGCTCCGGTCTCCGCCTCCGTCCTCACCCAGCCTCCCCTCTGTGTCCACATCCTCTGTCTCTGTAAGGACACTCGACAGGGTGCCCGTCCGAATAATTCAGCATGTTCTCATCTCTACACCCTAATTACATCTTCAAAGACCCTTTTTCCTAATAAAGCCCCATTCACAGGTTCTAGGGGTTCCAGTGTGGGCACATGGTCAGGGTCCCCATTCAGCCCACGACAGGGCGGGCGTGAGTGGAGGTGGCCGACGTGGACCGCGGAGCTACAAGCCCCTGTTAAGAGCCATTGGCGACCGGCCACTCGGGACATAACCGTGGCCACTCTGGGTGCTACAGAAGAGGCCGAGGAGACCAGGGAGTCCCAGCGGCTGGGCATTCGAAGCGCGAGGCCCCCAGGGACCCACCGTGCCAGCCTCACTGCCTTCTGGGAGCCGGGAGCATCGTGTCCCGGTGAAAACCCGCCCTCCCTGCGAGGGCACACGCAGGCGCACCTCCGAAGCCTTTTGTCTCTTGGCTGTTTCCCTCTCTTCTCAATAACCTTTTGAAGCCACTTGGGGAACTTTTCTGAAACTGGAGATTAAGCTGAGGACCAGATCATGGTTCGATCCAAAGAGCTGGACACCGGGCATGGAGCTCAGGACCAGTGAGCACCAGGTCCATGGAGCCCAGGCCCCTGCGCTGGGCTCCCAGAGCCTGGCACGATCCTGACACATGGCCAAGAAGGCTGCCACCGGCGGCTGGGGCCCCGATGGCTCCCCGGGTCCCTGCGGGACTTGCACGGGGAAGTGGACCTCCTGGGCTGGCCCACACGGCCGCCTACGTTAGAACCTCCGGGGACCCTTCTCCCGGGGCACAGCCCACGGCTTTCTGTAGCGTCTCCCCCAGCGATGAAGACCGTGGCTTTATGTCCTGGAATAACTAACATGCCTCAGCATGAGAAGCAGCTGCAGCAGAATGTTCTAGAAAGAACCCAGACCTCAGTGCCTCGAGGTTGGTGGCCGGGTGCCAAAGCAGTGTGTCTGCCGCTGATGCTCTGTGGGGCCGACCCTGCGCCAAACCCTCTCTGGGCCTCAGTTTCCTCATCTGTAAAACAGGGAAGGGCCCCACTGGATTCCACCCGGCCCCCAGGCACCCTGGTTCCCTGCCCTTCCCTGCCAGTGAGCTCGGACCCGGGGCCTGAGGCCAGGACCTGAGCAGCGGTCCAGACCTCGGTTGGGGGTGAGGGTGGCCGTCCTGGAATAAGGAAGCGGAGGTAGGCCTCAGGGAACCGGGGGGCCACAGCAGCTCCCACACACCCTCAGCAGAGACTTCACCTGGTTCCGCCTCCAGGAAGCCACCGCGCACTTCGGGCTCTGGTTGGGGTCGTGATCCCCCGAGGGGTGGGGGGCAGGCAGCCGCCCCAGCCCTGGGCCGTGCTACAGCCACAGGGCCCCACCCAGCCTGACACCTGACAAGGGCCTGGGGCAGGGTCCTGCTCTATCCTGAAGACACAGCGGAGCAAACCCAACCCCCTGCCATGCCCCCACCCCACCCCGACCCCCTGCCACCTGGGGAACCTGGGCTCTGATGGCCCCTGCTCAGCCTTCAAGCCTCAAGTGTCCCCTGAAGTGTCTTTGCCCCCGAGCGGCCCCCAGCTCGCGAGGCTGAGCTCACGGAATTTGTCCTCGCCGTCCGATGGCCGCAATGAAACAGCCGAGGAATGATGGTCGGCGACTCCCTTCTCGAGGTGAACTCTGAGGGGCAGGCGTCCCTCCTGTATGTCTCTGACTCCCCTGTGCCTGGCCCAGTCTTGTGAATAAATGCAGGAGGGAAGAAGGACGGGAAGGAGGGGCCTCCCTTAGGTGACCCTAAAGTAGACATGGCAGTGTCGGGGGGTGTTCTCACCCTGCCAGTGACGTCACAAGTCCAGGAGAGGGAGGGCGCCACCCACCACCCTTCCCGAGAAGGAAGGCTCCGCTGAATTCCGGCTGCACGAGATTCGAACCCACGAGGCTCCCGCTCCTGGGGTCTGCCTCCCTCACGTGTGTCCCCTGCAGGGCCGGGGGCATGTTCCTGAACTCTGGCGCTGGTGCTGTTGAGTGTCAGCCAGGGGCTCCTGGGCAGCGGCCTCCGGGCAAGAGGGGACCTGGGTCACCTCCCCACGATGCACTGTGAAGGACAGTGCCGGGGGGGTCCCCCGAGAGAGGACCGCTTGTTGGGGGTTTTCGTGGTGGAAGACCAGTGTGTGAAGGATGACACAGGCTACCAGGTCCCACCACAGTGACTCCGTCATCATGTGGCTGTCACCATGCACCCATCTCCCCTGCAGGGAGGGGGCGGCCGGGGAAACACTGCCATGCTGCCGGGGCGGCCCCTCCCGCTGCCTTCTGCCCACAGCCGTCCTGCCCCGCGCCGGGACTCGGGGCTCGGGCTCCTCCCTCCCGCCCCTCACAGCCGCTTTATCTGTACTCTGAGAGGGAGCTCGGGCAGGCGAGCACTCACACCCCCTGACCGCTCCTCCTTCCATCCGCAGGTGGGACCCCATCTCGACACCTTCCCCACCGAGGCTGACCGCCAGAGAGCCTTCAAAGCTCACCGCGAGGAGGGTGCCGTGCGCCAGGGGACCCTGCGGATGGGCAACTACACGCACCCCTAAAGCCTCCTCCACACAGGAAACAAGTCCGGAAGGACTCGCCTTTCTTGCCCTAACTCACATAAGACACTCTCCTATTTTTAATAGGTCTTTGGCTCCGTTTGTGCGAAGTCCCCCTTTTTAGGTTAGCTCCTCTACCCAGGGGCTCCCCTTCCTCAAACCCTCACTCAGGAAGATAGACCAAACGACAAGGCAGACCCTGGGCTGCCGGCTAAGGTGTCCGAGGCGCTGCCCAAGGACCGCCCGCGAGTTTCCTGCAGAAGGTGCCGGTCACGTGCCCTGAAAGCCCCACTTTATATCCAACGTGAGTCTTAACTGCTCTTTTGGGGACGCCTGAGGTCTCACCACGGCAGTGACATCTCTCCGGGAGCTCGGGCGGCAGGACGACACAGGCTGGTTCCTGGGCACCGCTCCGTGGGCGCCCCAACGGCTGGCGGGCCAACGGCTGCTCGCCGAGACCCACCCGAGAGCGGCGCTGGACGGCGCAGCCGGTGCGTCTCGGCCAAACCCCTGAGCCCCTCCCCTCCACCTCTGAACCTCGGCGTGTTCTTTGGCTTCTCCCCACAAGCGACAGGCTGATCTTTATTTTGAATGAAAATGCTGCTTGTCACCCTGCTCTCGTGTCTCTATCTGAAAACCAGGACGTTACACCTGGCGTGAGAACCAACCTCAGCCCCTTCGGATGACACTGTTACCGCCCAGAGACCCTTCGCGGTCCATTACTTCCTCCAGGCACCCGACAGTTCCCGCGTCTCAAAAGCCATTTCTGGAATTCCTCCCCGAAGTCCAGACTCGGTTACCCGGCTGCCCACTGGGCGTGGCCACTCACGTCTGGCATGTCTCCAACCGGCACAGCCAAGACGGGACACTAGCCGTCCCCACCAAACTTGCTTCTCCATTTTCCCATCTCATAAATGAGGCCACCAACACCCAGCTGTAGAAGCCACACATTTCCCTCATCTCTGACATTGACCCCGTGAAATCACTGCCCAGAACCTGCTGGCCCGTCCCCTCCTCCCTGGGGACTCGCAGTGGGCTCCCTCAGCATCCCCCGGCTTCACCGTCACAACACATCCCATGAGCACCCTCAGCACTCCGGTGGCTTCCCTCCGCCCTGAAGTGAGACCTACCCGCCTGACCCGGTGGGACCCCAGGTGAGACAGCTGGGCCAGCCCTCTGGCTTCCTCCCCGGCCTCTGCCCACTGCCCACAGGCCACAGCCGCTCACTCCTGCCCTCGGCTTTCTGCTTCCGTTCCCCTCTGCCTGCAACCCCTGGGCCTCAGACGTCCCCTGCCTGCCCCTTCTTGTCATCAGATCTTAGCTCAAAAGTCAAGTCCTCTACTCAAAAGGCCTTCCCTGAAACAGCCTCCCGATAAAGTCACACCAACCTAGTTTATTCTCTGCAAGTAGCAATGGGGTCAGGCATCTCAGATCCGGGGCCCAGATCCAAGGGCCCGGCCCAGTGATACCTGTGGGACGACCCACCGCGGGAACAGCCGCTGTGACTCACGCCCCCTGCAGGCCGCGCCTGGCAGGGAGAAAGGCTGAGTGGTGATTACAGATCTGAGTTTCTCCGCAGCCCCTATGTGCACGAGAGGCCAATTCCACAGAAATGCCGCACACTCTAACCCCTCAGGACTCGGGCTCAGCCAGGGCCTTCCCAGACCCGCCCCAGCCCAAGGGCCTGACATCCTCCCCCCACCACATGAGCCAGAGGGAAAAAGCACCCCACTCATCTTGGCTAAAGCCACCTGAATCCTCTGACCCCCAGGGAGCAGGGACCCTCCTAGGAGAGCAGGGAGCACCCAAGGGGCCTGGCCTCTGAGCCGGAAGCCATTCCATCGGTCCAGAGCACGAAGCCCAGCTCCACCCTGTAATTTCTGTGTGACCTTCAGCAAGTGTCCTAACCTCTCTGTGCCTCACCTGTGAGACAGGAGCCTGACACAGTACAGAACATCTGCTCAAGAGACACTAGATCATGCCTAACTGAAGAATGTGTCTAGCACGATCAGTACCGGGTCATAGATCCATGTGAATTGTTTTCTTATGAATAAAGGGCACCGAAAAGGGGCAACCAGACCCTGAGTGACGGACGGGCGAGGCAGCAGTTTCAGGGGAACAGCAGCTGGTGTCCAGGCGCATCAAGAAAGTAAAGATATTGTCAACACACTTTTCTGAATTCCCTGTGGAAAGGCGAAGGGGGCACCTTAGGACACAGAATGTCCGGAAGGACCTGAAATTAGGCTCAGTCCACAGCAGGGCGGGGCAAGCTTTGCTATGGCAACCAGAGACGCCCATAGGCCAGCGGCCCCTCCAGGCTGCTTTTCCGAGGGCCTGGGCCAAGGGGAACATGGGGACTTGGGCAGAAGCAGCTTCGAGGAATCTCCCCTGTGGGTCTGATCCTCACCGTTGCCTCCGCAGGCAGAAACTGTGGGACCTGCTGGGGCTGTGAGGGTGCCCTGGGGGCGACACCCCCATCCTCGCCTGGAGAGCCTGGCCACGGGGTGCTCCGGGTCTGGGCCGGAAGCGGCTCTCCTCAGAGGGTCCCTCAGCTCCTTGTCCTACAGCGCCACCCTCTGGCAAGTCCAAGTCCAAGTGAGGCTCCTGGCCTTCCCTCCCCCAACTTGGCTCTTCCGCATTAATTATTTGTACCTGTGCAAAGCCCCAGGTCGGATTCCGGTCTCATTCCACCTTCTTAGGTATCTTGTAGCATCGGTCAAATGCCTGTCCTGGCTGAGGAGTCCCACGCACAACTGGGGTCCCTCTGGCTGCCCTGCATGACCCAGGGTAGAGTCCTCAAAGGCTCCTGCCTGGTGGGGCCTCAGGGGCCATCTGTTAGCCTCCCTGCACTGCCAGGGACTTCAGTCAGTGAGTTAGGCCACCAGCTGTCCCAGGCCGCTGACTGACATACTTTATGTTGCAGAGCCTGCCCCACAGACTACTTGTCAAAGATGGATGGACACGGGGAGCTTAGCTTAGCTCCCGTCCCAAGTCCCCAGTCACTTCCAGGCAATGCCATGTGGGGGTGGCCGTCACCGGAGGTGTGGCACGTACCCATTTTTTGCTCATTTCCCTGCTGATTGGCATTTGCAAACATTCTACCTCCTGGTTGGGTTTCCTGGCAACAGCCCATCAGAAATTTAACCAAATAAAAAGGCCTGGGTCACTGTCCTCAAGAGCTGGGGGACAGGGGCAGCTGGTCTGGACTTCCTGTGGGTCTGCTCGAAATTCTTGGAAGTCCTGTCTGAGGTGGGAGGAAGGCGGTGATCATGTGATGTGCACTTGGCAGAAGCGGGGAGCAAGGGCCAGCCTGGGGTGCAGGGAGCCTTGGGAAACAGGCCGCGTGGAGCTGGGCGGGGCCTGAGGAGACACGCAGCCCTGCAGAGCGGACGTCGGGGTTTAGTTACTCAGCAGCCCAAGGGAAGCGGCAGACCTCCCGGCTGGAGGTCAGCTCTCTCTTCATGCTGAACCCCAGGCTTCAGTCTATTTCCAGATTTTTCAACCAGAGCCCAAACCTCCTTCATTCTCTCAGTGCCCCCCCCCTCTCTCTCATGCCCCCCCATCTCTCTCATCGAACCAGAGGACTAATCATTTTCCTGGTAAGAAGAAAGGGGCTCTGGAGTCTGGCTGCTGCGCAGGGTTTTCAGCAGTGATGGGAGCAAGGAACCAGAGGCAGTTCCTGGGGTCTGCCTGGCAGGGGCTCCCAGAGCCTGAAGTGAGGGCACAGCTTACAGGCCACGGACCCAGATCCAGCCCCGGGGCGGTCCCTGGACCCAGGTCTGGCTTTTTGATTCACCCACTCCAGCTCCCCAGCTAGTGCTGGTCTAGAAACCAGATTTAGGGGTTCAGAGAAAGCGCATCGCCAGGGCAGCCAGCCGGGGTGCCAGGACCACAGCCAGACAGGCCTGCGCTGTGGGCAGGTGCCTTCCCTTGCATTTGCTTCTGGACTCAAACCACCTTTTTGCTTCATTTATTTTTACTTGGAAAATCTTAGATGCTTGAAATCATTAAAAGAATTAAAACAAGACAAAACAAAACAAAAACTAGGTTGGCTTTCGCCCTGGCCAGTTTGGCTCAGGGGTTAGAGCGTCGGCCCGCGGACCAGAGAGACCTGGGTTCGGTTCCCGCGAAGGGCACGTACCTCAGCTGCGGTTCGTGTGGGTGGCAGCCACTCGATGTGTCTCTCACACCCATGTTTCTCTATTTCTTCCTCCCTCTCTCCCTCCCCATTCTATCTGAAGATAAATGCAAAAATGTCCTGGGGTGAGGATAAAAAAAAAAAAAAAAACTTGGTTGGCTTTATGTCCAGATTCCCAGAACTGAATGCAGGTAAATTATAAACTTGAATCCACAAATGGGAAATAATCTATGAAGGGGATTGAGCCGGCTGGGCAGCACGGTGCGGTGAGCCCGTCCGGCTTACTCTCCTGGACAACGCCAGCAGCTCGTGTGGTGCCCCATGCGGGGCAGACTGCATGCTGGGGGAGGAGGGAGGGAGGGGAGAGAAGAATGTGCTCCCTTCTGGTTGCAGTAGCTCCAGGGGGGTTGAAGCCACAAAAATAGTTGTGAGCAGCATGACATTGAGGCCCACAAATCGCCCAAATCCTTGTTCAACCCATCTGTTTGCGGAACAGAGGTATTAGCATCCAGGTCTGGCCTGTATCATCCACACCCCTTCCCACTCCACATTAAAAACTGGTTTTGGGCCCGGCCGGTGTGGCTCAGCGGTTAGAGCGTCGGCCTGCGGTCCGGAGAGACCCGGGTTCGGTTCCCACTAAGGGCACGTACTTCGGTTGCAGTTTGTCCCCGGCCCTGGTTGGTCGTGCGGGTGGCAGCCACTCGATGTGTCCCTTCACGTCGATGTTTCTCACTCTCTCTCCCTTCCTCTCTCTCCCTCCCACTCTATCTGTACAAAAAATGGAAAAATATCCTCGGGTGAGGATAAAAAAAAACTGGTTTTGGGCCCGGCCAGTGTGGTTCAGTGGTTGAACACTGACCCCTGC